AATTTTTTTTTTTTTTAAGAAACAAACAAAATTATTCTAATAGAAGCATCGAATTATAAGCATACAATAATATTTCTAATACATTTCATTTTTTATTTTTAGAATATAAAAAGAAAATATGTCATCCTCTCCCGCTTCTTCTTTCAGTAACTCCTCTCTCTCTCTCTATTTCCAGTTTTCTTTCTCAAGATCGCTTCTTCGATCTTCTCTTTCGTTTTCTTTATATACTCTCGTTGCGTATCCGATTCCTGATTCACAGAGAGATTCGTTGATTTTCCCGAATCGCGTGTTTAGTAGCGAAGAAGAATGGTAGGAAACGATTGGGTGAATAGTTACTTGGAGGCGATCCTCGCCGCCGAACCAGGAATCGGAAACCCTAAATCGTCGCTTCTGTTAAGAGAACGTGGCCATTTCAGTCCGACTCGTTATTTCGTCGAGGAAGTCATCACTGGATTCGATGAGACTGATCTTCACCGTTCCTGGGTTCAGGTTTGGATTCTAGGTTTTCTGAGGATTTTTTCGATTGATCTTGGTTTGATTCTTCTTCTTTTTTTTTGTTTTTTCCAAAAAAGGCTGCAGCAACGAGGAGTCCACAAGAGCGGAACACTAGGTTGGAGAATTTGTGCTGGAGGATTTGGAATTTGGCTCGCCAGAAGAAGCAGGTATTGTGAAATCGATTAGAAGATTTGGGGGAATTTTTGGGTAATTTGATTTCTTGATTCTGTTTTGGTTGATGAAATGTGTTAGGTTGAAGGGAAGAATGCTAAGCGTGTTGCTAAGAGGAATCTTGAGCGTGAAAAAGCAAGAAAGGAAGTAACTGCTGATATGTCAGAAGATTTCTCTGAAGGAGAGAAAGCAGATTTGCCTGGTGAAATTCAACCTACTCATAGTGATAACACAAAAGGAAAAATGTCTCGGATTAGTTCTGTTGATGTGTTTGAGAATTGGTTTGCTCAACACAAAGAGGAAAAGCTTTACATTGTCTTGATAAGGTATAAACACTACTTGAGAATTGGTGTTCTGAAGTTTGGGCTTAGTTTGTTTCACATGGTGGTACATAATAGTAGAAGTTGTTTTGCAGTCTTCACGGTTTGATACGTGGTGAAAACATGGAGCTTGGTCGGGATTCTGATACTGGTGGCCAGGTACTCTTTCTTTCTTGCAAGCATTTTGTTTGTATTTGAGTTTTGAATTGTTGAATTCTATAAAATGACGTATGTATTCAGGTGAAGTATGTTGTGGAACTTGCAAGGGCATTGGGGTCAATGCCAGGAGTTTATCGTGTCGATTTGTTGACCAGACAAGTATCTGGACCAGATGTGGATTGCAGCTACTCTGATCCGACTGAGATGTTAAATCCTTTAAACACAGATAGCACAGAGCGGGAGCATGGAGAGAGTAGTGGCGCTTATATAATCCGTATACCTTTTGGCCCGAAAGATAAATATGTACCAAAAGAGCTCCTCTGGCCTCATATCCCTGAATTTGTTGATAGGGCACTTAGCCATATTATGCAGATTTCCAAAGTTCTTGGTGAACAAATTGGTGGGGGACAAGTGTGGCCGGTTGCTATTCATGGGCATTACGCAGATGCTGGTGATTCTGCTGCTCTTCTATCTGGAGCTCTGAATGTACCGATGGTTTTTACTGGGCATTCCCTTGGTCGTGATAAGCTTGAGCAACTCCAGAAACAAGGGCGGCCAAAGGAAGAAATAAACTCTAACTACAAGATAATGCGGCGGATAGAAGCAGAGGAGCTATGTCTTGATGCTTCTGAAATAATTATAACTAGTACAAAGCAAGAGATAGAAGAGCAATGGAGCCTTTATGATGGTTTTGATCTGGTTTTGGAGCGTAAACTCAGAGCAAGGATGAGAAGGGGTGTGAGTTGTCTAGGCAGATTTATGCCTCGGATGTTTGTAAGTATCATCTCTATCTTCCTGTCCTCTATGTTCCTCTTTGGGACTTGAAATGAGAAGTTATTCTATCATAACTCATGAGTATCCTTGTGTGTGATTCTAGGCAATTCCTCCAGGAATGGAATTTCATCATATTGTACCACATGATGTGGATGCAGATGGGGAAGGAGCAAGAGACGATGAAAATCCACAATCTCCTGATCCACCAATTTGGTCTGAGGTTATCATATCTTCAAATCATATCCTATTACCTTTCCTTTCATCAAAGTATTTACATTTTATACCTTTGTTTCACTGGTATCTTTATATTTACTGTTAATTCTTCACCTTGATAGATTATGCGTTTCTTTTCTAACCCACGGAAGCCTATGATACTCGCTCTTGCTCGGCCAGACCCTAAAAAGAACCTGGTTACTCTAGTCAAAGCCTTTGGAGAATGTCGTCCACTACGGGAACTTGCTAACCTTGTAAGTCCTGCATTTGTTCTTTTCGAATTCTTGATCTCCAACTTTTTTCACTTTTCTGGAATCTGATAATTGTTTCACCTTTTTCATGATTGATTTTTACTCTCTTTGACTACAGACATTGATAATGGGAAACCGAAATGATATTGATGAGTTGTCTACCACGAATGCCTCGGTGCTGCTCTCAATTCTAAAGCTTATAGACAAGTATGACCTCTATGGTCAAGTGGCAATGCCTAAGCATCACAAACAATCTGATGTGCCTGAAATTTACCGTTTAGCAGCCAAAACAAAGGTAATGCTCAAGAGTTATATTCTTAATTACATACTTATTTCTCTCCTCTACGCTCATGTGAGTCCCGATCCAGTCTTTTTCTTTTATTGGGATCTCTTCCTTTCTAAATGGTACAGAAACAAACTTCATAAGTTCTTTTTTTGGGATCTTCCTTCTAAATGGATATTAGCCTGTGTTTTGCAGCAGTTTCTGTGAATCCATTGAGTTTCTTGCATTGTTTATCAATTTATATGAAACCTTTTTGCAGGGAGTATTTATAAACCCTGCTTTCATCGAACCATTTGGATTGACTCTAATTGAGGTAGCTATCACTTTTTCTCTCTTCAGTGCTCTATTCTTTTCAGGGTTTCGTATTAACTAATAGGCGCTATATCTAACAGGCGGGGGCTCATGGGTTGCCCACTGTTGCAACAAGAAATGGAGGACCTGTTGACATTCATAAGGTTGGTTTGTAGCTTTTCATATTTCAAAAGAGAAACTCTGTACTATAAGTTACCAGATTCGATCAGAACTAGCTATAGCTGATATTTTGCTATGAACTTGCAGGTTCTTGACAATGGTCTTCTAGTTGACCCGCATGATCAGCAAGCTATAGCTGATGCTCTCCTGAAACTGGTTTCAGACAAAAATCTTTGGGCAAGATGCAGACAGAACGGCCTAAAGAATATCCACTTGTTTTCATGGCCAGAGCATTGCAAAACATATCTGGCTCGGATAGCATTGTGCAAGCAAAGACATCCTAAATGGCAGAGAATTGATGTTGAAAATTCAGACTCTGATTCACCCAGTGACTCCATCCATGACATCTCGTTGAATCTAAAATTCTCTTTAGATGGCGAAAAGAGTGAAGGTAGCAACGGTCTAGATACTAACTTAGACGCTGAAGACAGTGCTGCTGAACGAAAAGCTAAGCTTGAGAAAGCTGTTGCAACCTTGGCACAGAAGAGAAGCACATCAACAGAGAAATCTGACTCCAAGATGCCAACTTTGAAAAGGCGGAAACATATATTTGTAATTTCCGTGGACTGTGACGGAACCTCGGATCTTCTTGCAGTAGTGAAAACAGTCATTGATGTTGCAGGCAAAGGCGGTGCGATAGGATTCATACTCTCAACCTCAATGACTATATCCGAGACTCACACTACATTGCTTTCAGGAGGGCTGAAACCACAAGACTTTGATGCTGTTATCTGCAACAGTGGAAGTGAACTCTACTTCACGTCCTCTGCTTCTGAAGATAAAACCGTGCTTCCTTATACACTCGATGCAGATTACCATTCCCATATAGAATTCCGCTGGGGTGGAGAGAACTTGAGGAAGACTTTGCTCCGCTGGATTACTTCTGTTCAAGAGAAGAAGAAGCCGAAACAAGAAGAGATTCTATCCGAAGACGAGTCTTCTTCAACCAACTATTGCTTATCCTTCAAAGTGAAAGATCCTGCGTCGGTAAATACACTCTCTAACTGCAACATAGAGTTTGGTTTGTTTTCTATTACCTTCTAATCTCCTTTCACTCAT